TGATGTATTTTAGTGACTGAGTTCTCCTTAAATAGAAAGATTGCTTTCTCTTCCCAAGCCACAATGGAATAATTGGTGGGCTAGCATGAATGAGTCGTGAGCTGCATACATCAGGGCCACTTGAGTCAAGTTAAAGTCCTTCAAACCTCAGTTTGTAATTAAAAATGAGAGTATGGGCATGGTCCTTAAATCCTGATTATAAGTCACTTAAAATAATTACAGAAGCAATGAATGCAATTTGAGTTATTCTTTCCATGGTAAGCAGTGGCTAATCCTAGTTGTTGAACAGATATCTCCATAAAATATTCTTGAAAGTGATTATGTAAAATTTCAGGTTATGTTTTTGTTTTTTTGTTTTTTTTTTTGAAAAAAGTCATTACTTGGATACATAAAACTAGTCTAGAGTATACAGAGCAAAATCTCAGCAATATGCTAACAGCCAAACATGTAAATCATTATCTATTATATGCTATTATAGTCAACATAATTGCTAATATTACATTGTATTTAATATTTTATAAATTACTTTGATATATCAGCTATATTTCTGCATAACTGCTCTGACTTCATTATCATTCATGCAGTTGACTTGCAAAACACCCATGTGATTTTATTATGTGAGTTTATTTGGTCCCTCATTTCCTTAGATACTAACCTGCATTTTTCCTCATGTATTTAATTGTTTCCTCCTTTTTTTTTCTCCTGTTTTAATTTGTGTTTTTGTGACACTCTGACTGAAAATCACAGCTGTTTGGGAATGAGGTTAGAAGCACAAGCTTGTGCTCACTGTGATGTTTTGGTTTTGTTTTTTTAAAGCCCCCTTGCATTCCCCCAAAATCTTCTGAACATTAATACACACATTATGGAGTATAGTTGTCATCTCAAGGCAGCCTTCCATAAAGTATTGACCATTAGCGCACTATCTGTTCCACCGCATAATTCACATGATTCATCAAGAGCCAGGAAGGAACAGTTGCTTTTTCTGGCTTGTACACAATCATCCTTAATATATTTTCTGAGATTCAGATTCAATGCTGAGTATTGCAAGGATTTCAGACAATGCAATGCCATTAAAAGCTTTTGTACTAGCAGTGTCTTCATCAAGAGCTATAGTTTAATTTATATGTATCTTACAGCTTCCTATTAAGATTTTTTTGTTGTTTATTCCCTCCCCCTCCTACTTAGAATCCACTTTCCCTTGGGAATAGATTTGCAGATCTGTCCTGTTCTTGTCATTGTGTAGGTGGTATGGTTCTGCAACCATATTTTGCTTTCATAGTAAACCAGTTTTCACTTCTCCAAGTCTGTGAGCTATTCATGATTTAAAAAGAAAAAAAATATATATATTTTTAAGTAACTCTTTCTGTCAACAGAAATGAGACTGGCAACTTGTGTTTGTGTTCCTAGTTTATTTTTTACTATGTTTAGGTAGGACAGGATGAGAGGAGTGCTTCTGGAAGTATCTAGAGAGTCACATCCATCTGTAGTGGAGGTTCATGATGCTTCGTAGGATATATCCATCCACTGAATTCATGTGCATTTCCATCATCACAGCTGTTGCCTGTTGCAGCTTGTGCTAACCCGTTTTACTTCATGTTGCAGCAGACTAGGAAGTCATGGACAGGGTTGTAATGAAGAGAGCCAAAGACAGGGTTGTGTGCATATGTTTAAAGTTCCCTAAATATATGGAAGGATTTTAAAATATGTGGATTTTGCAGACCCAAGAACTAAACTAACCCTGAGAAATCTGCATGTTAAGGATGTCAAAACTGGTCCACTGACGGTGACTGTGAAAGGCTGTGGCCGTGAAGCTGGCAGTATTCATTACAGCAGCATGAAGAAGAAGCTTTCCAGATCAGTTGAATTACCTTTGAAGATCAGTATGTCAGTCCTGCAAAGGAGCACATGAGAGGAAAATGTCGTAATACTTCAATTTGGTCTTGTTTAAGGTTAGATTAGCTTATTACCATTCTATAATAAAATCAATGTGAAAAGAACAGAAAAAAAAAAGTCCATTTCAACATACATCCCAAAACTTCTAGCCATTTGTATGCTAGTTTGCATTCACATCCCTGACTGATCTCAGAACTGAAAAATGTACCACACAGATTTCCTCAGCTGAATCAGGTGAGGTCACATTTAGTCACATTAAATAGAAATACATATGTTTATTGGTAGACAATCGTGGCTTTATATTCATGGATCTTTACAGCACTGAAGTACTTTTCCAGTCCTTGAAAGTATATCTGCTCAAACTTTTTGTAAAACATGTCCTAAAAGGAGAAGTAAGCAGGTGCTTGAAGTCTTAAAGATTTTTATTTTATATTTAATATTTTATTTTCCGGTTAACCCCAACTTTTTTTTTTTAATTTGTTTTAGTTTTTATTTGAGAGAGAGCTTTGAAAAAAATATAGTGATGTGGGAGCAGTATAACTTACTTTAATAAATTTATGGCTTTTTAAACAATAAGCTAGATTCTCTATTATTCTGTGAAAGCATCAATATATTTTGACCATTTGTTCTCTTGTTATGTTAATTTGGAAACCTTGGGATAAAATGCCTATTTTTCATGTAATTTCCAAGGCTGTCTACTTTTAGGAAATCCATGCTCAAGTCCCATAAGGGCTGTTTCGTGACAAACTTCTAATTATTTAGTCAATGAATTTCTGATGCATGATATAATTAAATGTATTTTCATTCTTGATTTGTTACAGAAATGAGCATTGAATGAGTTAGTTAAAGACTGATAATAAACACACAAAAATTTCCTATAGTCAGATGAAATATTGAAATTGAATTGTGAGCTTGAATTTTTTTCCCCTTAACTCAGTGGATATAGTGAGCACTAAGGGGATCCATCAGAGCACAGCACCTCAATTTAATAGGCATACGGCATAAGATCAGCTTTTGAAAACTGTCATTCTCACATTGCATCCTTGCCAAAATATTGCTACTGAATTTTAGAAACGCTAATTTAGATTTTTAAATAGAGAATGACAGAAATATATCAGAGAACTGCTGGGATTATTGTTGATGATGTTTTTGTATAAGATCTTTTATAGCAGAGAAACATTGCTTACTGCCAGATTCTCAAAGAACACTTTTCTTGCTGAGTCAAGTTTTAAGCTAAAGCCCCTGGTGCTGGCTGAGTGACATAATTCCTAATGGAGATATAAGGAGGAACAGGGGGAAGAAAAATCCCTGCTACACTTTGTGCCCAGTTGCTCCCTCTGAACTGTTATATGGCAGTCACCTCACATAGGTTTGTTCCTGGTTGATTCCTCTCTCTAAACTCTCTCTGGAAGACTTTCCATAGATACATGATTTTCTGCAAAAGGCCTCAGTCTTGTTGCTTCCACTGTGCCATCCTAACACCAAGTCACACCTTTCCTGCCCTACAAATGGGAGGTGACATTTACTGGGTGACCTGAGTTGTTCAGCCAGGAAGCCAATGTCAGAGGTGACCAGGCCATCAGAGCATAGCTGGTACGTCCACCCAAAAATGAGCAAGATATCTGTGCATAAAACCTCACCTCCAGTCTAGGCACATGGATGGTGGTACAGTGAGACTTGGTACAGAAAGACAACTATCCCTTGCAATATCCACTGCCATCAGCAAATTAATTCTTTCTAGTGGAGACTGCTGCCACTTACAAGGCATTTCTGGAGCCTTGCCTGTAGGTATGTGAAGGTAGAGCAGTGCTTCTGCTGCTCAGCTGAATTGTTCAAGCATAACCAGACACCAGCTGGAGCCACCTCAGCAGTCATGACTGACTGCTTCTGTACATCCTTTTATTTGGATCAGGAGTGGAACCAGGTGGCCCAAGACAGGCAAGCAGCAGCACTCATTGAAGCAAGCAAGGAGAGCTCCAGCCCAGAGATATCACTGCCCTCTGGGCTGTGTGGCCTCAGGTGTAGTGCTACTTGTTGGGGCTCTCTCTGTTCCCCCATTCTTCTTCCACCTTGGTGACCGCAAAGGACCTCACATAAATGTGTTTTTTTGATGTTGTTCTTTTTTTTTTATTCCTTGAGGTCCATGTAAGTACTTCCTAGGATTCTTTCTCCTTCCATTTTTTGAGTCTTGAGACCCTAGTCTATGCACTTGTCATTTAATTACTGACTTATTAAAAATATGGTCAGTACTTGTTGACAGAAATGTGCATTTTCATACATTGGGGCAGTGGTGGGGAGAGGCATTTTTTGTGCTGTGTACCACCATCAGAGATTACAAGATATGAACACTGTAGTAGTGCTCCACAATTAAAGATGATTCAGCAGTGCATCTCTCCATGACATTACATGCTCAAAAAAAGGAAATTTCCAAATAAACAAAAATTACTGAGGAGTTGAAAATGCTATCCACTATGCACAAAGCTAGCATTTAAAATATGCTCAACTGTCTACAAAAATTAATGAAATGTTGGTTTGAGAGCTGGAAACATATTGTTAGATTATATTTTAATTTGGGCATGCGAAGAGGAAGTACATTCCATGTAGTGAAATAAATAGAAAAGTCTGCAGCACTTACTTGCCAAACATACTTGCAAATAAATGCATTTTAGTTGAAAGGGTACAGTATTTAGGCCAGCTGAAAATTAATACACTGCTCGGCAGGATGCATGGGAAACTGCATATACCTCTTCACCTGGAAGATGCATTATTATTTCTATATCAGCCAAAATTATGAGGAATTACTGAGAGAGATTTCAGCACCTTCTGTTAGGAACAGCCTGATGAAAAAGTGTGCTAATGGAAATCAAACAGTATGTGGAGAGAGTAGCTGTAATCTTCATGCACATTAACCGTCCTAAAATTGGTGGCATTAACTGTAATAACGGTTTGGCCAGGACAGAGTTTAAGCTGTTGGTGGGTGGCTGGGGGTGGAGAAGAGCTGCATTTTCTTTGGAAATCTGGATGTGATTCTGTGCTTTGTCTTTCCTACTCTCTCACTGAAAAGAAACGAAAAGAAATCTCAACTTTTTTTTTTTTTTTTTTTCCAGTTTCAACCACATTTGGCAGAAAACTAAAGGTCTCAGGGTTAATTTACTTTCTCAAGATGTATGCAGCCATGGCATCTTTCCCATAGCCCCAGTAAGGAAAGGACTGCTGTTAGTTCAGTAAGCAATGGAGAATTCATCCTGGAATTAGAAATGTGTATCTTGTACTTCCTAGCACACCAAAGACAATCAGCCGCAAGACACTGACCTGCAGGGAGTCAGATCATTGGTTTCAGTGGTTGCTGAACTATTTCTTTGGTTCACAGGGTGGGTGTTACTCAGAAATCCTGAGCTATCAGCAGAAACAATGTGTTTTCAGTATATCTTGTGAAATGTCTGACTGCTGGTTTAACTTTTATTTTGAAGTAACATTATCTTCATAATACTTCTGCTTGAACAATATGCATGTTCAAAGACTCCTTTCTCTCTAAGGAAAGAAAGCAAGTTGCTACCTACTTAGTCTCTACCTGAAGCTGTAATGCTGGCTATGTGATCAGAATTCTGTTTCAGATAGTGATATACAGAGCTAAAATGGTGAAAGGACTAAAAGCCATGACTTGTGAGGAGCAGCTGAGGATGCTGAAGTTTATTGGTGTTCAAGAAGCATGGACAACACTCTTAAATACATGGTGTAACTCCTATTTTGCCCTGTGTGCAGGCAGGGGTTGAACTCCATGATCCTCACGAATCCCTTCCAACTCAAGATATCCTGACTCTACAATTATATTTCCATGGAATTCAGCAGTAGAAGTGTTAGGGAAAGAAATGAGGAATAATGCAGGATGTTAAGCAAAATTGTTTCTAAGTAGGGTGGCTCTTTAACAGTCTCCAAAAGCTGGTAGATGAACTTTAAAGGTTGTGTACGCTTCAGCAGGCAGAAGCTATGCTTCAGCAAACCTGAGACTAAGTGACGATAATGTTAAATGCATATTGCCCACTTCTGTAAAAAGAGCAGTGGGAAAAAAAAAGAAAAAGAAAAAAAAAAAAAACTCAAAATCACGCTTGCCTAAGGATTTAGGAAAAAAGGTGACTTGTGGGTGGATGAGATTTAAGCATCATATAAATAAGCTAAGTGTTCTGAGGCAACTAGAATCTCTTTAAGAAATAGAATTGACACAGAGGAATCAACGATTATAGCAAAGCTTACAGACACTCTTCTGGAATAAGTAATGAAAAATATTATTTCCAACTTGGCAATTGAGTACCATATGCACTCTTAAAGATGCCAAAGGAACAGCAATGCTATATGTCATTGCTAAGCTAATGTGACCTTGTGATATGTGTTTATTTTTAGGGAATTCTTGCCTGAATGCTCAGGTATTTTAGTGAAAATTACTTGTGTAATTTTCTATTTTACCTCTCACAGAAATTGCTTCATGATAGTTAAAAATAATTAATTAAAGGTAAAAAATGGAAGGTTTTTAAAGATATACTAAATATTACAGAATTAGATTTTAATAACTGTTCATTTAACCATGTATAAGCCTTAATTGATATACAGTTTATAAAAATGTTCATTGGTACAGCTTGCAGGATTCTTGAAAATGTCAAGCAATTGTAGTTGTAGATGAGGTTACTTTTCTTCTCAACATTTTTCAAGAGATGCTGCTTTAATATTTATATAAGCAGTTAGAAAATAAAACCTTGGGTACTGAAAAAATATGCATGTCAGTAGCTTCTGCTTCAAATTGACAACCTGTACATCTTTTCAACAATCCTTAGATGGTTTGTAGTTAGCTGGCCACATTAAAGATTTAAGCTCCTGAGGTTAGTGTTTTCTCTTTTCAAGGGAAGATAGTTTACTATGTCTTGTTCTCTTGCAGACTCTCAGTGCATCTTTTGTCATGACAAATGAAGCTGATGCAGTACTAAGGTTTCAGCTCTGCTGTCCATCATTTTGCTTTCTCATAAACAGGAGCAATTTACTTGGTGACCAGAAGCATACAGTGTTCAGCTTTGTCAAAACAAAGATGTGACAGACAAACAACTTTTAGTGTCTGGAGCAGTGTGTCCTATCCTTGGTCATGCTGAATCATGAAACTTTTTCCCTGCATGTGTTTGGTAAGTTCAGTACAATTTAGATCTTCTTGTTTCTGATGGGGAACCACAAGACTATTCCTATAATATTTAGCTGATAGCTAACAGTTTCTGTTGCTAGTTAGCATCTTTCTTTCAAGTGTATGCTGATGGAAATAGGCATAGACTTAAGAAAAAATAGCCACATGAGCCTGGTTGGAATCAGGAGTGAGCATTTCCCAGGAAAAGATAATTTAATCTCCCTTCCCTTTTACCATTTTTAAATTTTGTTCTGCCATCCAATGTAAATGAAAATAGGTAAACTGAGGCACATAACTATTCAGGAATAAAAAACCTTTTGCACTGTATATTCCACTCCTGGATTGTGCTTCTTTCTTTAAACCTTCATTAAGAGGCTTTAAAAAATCCATTTAGCTTGACTCGATTTGAAATATAAATAGCAAGCAGATCACTGTCCCAAATATCATGTGTGCGACTGTCTTTAGCACTTAAACAGCATCCTCTAAGTGCCTGGCACACACACGGAGAAATGAGTCTCTGTAGAATAAGCTGATTTAAACACACGTCATGAGACCTACATGTCACTAGTGGCCGGTCTACACACTGCAACTCCTGGCAGACCTAAGAGGTCTTAACTGATAATGAAAGAGTAAAATAGGAAAATTAACAATAAATTGCCAGAGAGTAAGATGTACTGTAGATCATAAGCATTTTTACCATGTTGCATGTTAACTCCTTAATGCATCCTTCAGTAAAAGGTTCACCTGTCTGTATCTGAGTATCAGGATTTCCCTGGAAGGAAAGGATTTTCTGGAAGTATCAGTATTAAAGTAGGCATGTTATGTACCGGACCTTTTATGCAGAAAATTTTAAGAAGGAAATGAACCAGTTACCCAGGCTTTTAGGATACGCCAACCTTGTTTCTGTGCTACAACATGTCTTAACTTATTAAAAGTACAAAAATACTATTTGGAGTATAATATGTATAACATCTTATCCCACTGATGCCTTTACATAGTTCAAGATGAGGTCACCACCTGCCTTGGAGCTGTAAATCCTGGCTTGGAAACATGCATGCTCAACCTGTTTGTGTCAATATCTTGCTTACCTATGCAGATATATGAAAAGCTTATATTTAATATTGATAGGACTCAAACATTTTTTTTTTATATCATAATTTTATAACAAAGCACAATTTCCACCAAGTATGTAATTTAGCAAGAGATATACATTTACAAGATTTTATAGTTGTGTTTTCCAAAAATGCCTTACATTGCCTTATTGAATGACTTAAATGTAACACATGATCTATACAACAAAATCACATGAAGGAAACATTTTCAACTGCTTTGCATATTTGAGTAAGACCTTTTATATTTTTATATTATGTTTCTAAGTAAATTTGCCTATCTTTAATTCTAATTTTTGAACATGTAAAGATATCACCATTAATATAGGTTGTTTCTTGTCTCTGTCATGAGATGTCAGAATAAAGAAGCAAAATAAATTATGTTTAAAAAAAAAAAAGTAGTTCTTTGGAAATCTCTTACTCTCTGCTGGAACTTGCATTGTACAACACTACAGTATGATGAGAATTGGATTTTCTTTCCCTTCTTATATCTTCAAAGCACATTCAACTGCCTGAAATGCTTTGCAAGAGTCAAGTTTGGATTTTGTCCTCAGACCTCTGAAACAGAAAAAGTGAACAACTAGCAAGGCAGGCAGGGAGAGATGCAAAATGCAGGCCCTAAATTGAGAAACTGGTAGTTGATTTTTCCAATAACTTAGTCCAGTTAGCTCTTCATTTTTCAGTATAGCAGACACATTTACTCTCAATTTTCTGATGGTCACACTAAAGTACTGCATAAAGATTTATTATGATGGTGAAAAAATGCAACAATGTGACTTTTTTTCAAAATAGGTCAAGAATTTTGCAGTGGTGAAACAAAGACTGTTTTCATTGTTTGTTTGTTTTTGTTTTATTTTTTTTTTTCCATTTTATTTTTTGTGTGTCAAACTTCATCTTCAGAATTCTGAAGTTATTTTTTTATGTAACATTTTATGTCTCTTGAAAGATGTTATGTGTAAGTGTGCCTTATCATTCAAGTGACTATATGCTTAGCAAGACGTGTTAAGAAGACATACTGCATCAACACCTTTGAAATTTAGAATTATAGTCTATCCTACAGCTCATGCAGGAAAATGAAGAAAGCATATTATCTGCTAGAATTTCAATTTCAATTCCAGAACTTCATTAAGTGTTCTTTTTTTTTCTGATCACAATCCACTGAATCATGAAAATAGTTTTTATCAGCATTAATGTTTGTTACAGCAGGTAAAGCAAGAAAATATATAAATAATGGAACATAAAGTAGGATTAAATGCAATCTCTCCTCAAGGATTATCACAGAGCCTTATATCTCACAAAGCCTTATATCATCACATCATGTGGAAATAGCTCCTATTTTATGAGATTTTTTTTTAATTCCTAACCTTCCGCCCCACCCCAATTTTCTGCACACACATTTTCTTTGATCTTAGTAGGAATGTTTAAACACTCTGTATTTTGCTTTACCAGGCATTTTAAATTCATACAATTTTAAAAACTTTATTTACATCTGCATCATGTTTTTTGCTTTTGTCATTTTTGTTTGTTATATTTTTATATTTAAGCAATACTTACCAGTTTCTTGCCCATCCATGGAAATTAATAAAGCCCTTTTAACATGACACAGTCATTTTTTGATAATTACACTGAAGTCAGTTAGTTCTTTGTTTGTATTTATTAAGATACTGCAATGTGTCCTGCATGCTCAGGATCCAAAATTCAAGAACATACTTAAAAGATCATCTGAAAGAAGTATAAATATTGGGTATTTTTTGATGTGCACATCAATTTTGCTGGTAGAATTTTTGGCCGAGATGAGTGATTTTTTCTGTTGTTTCATTAGTCTTTAAATAAAAGAATACAAAACCCATTTATATGTTTGTACTTGTGACATTAAAAAAAGTGTTGCGATTCTTAAGGAAGTGCTGAGATATAGGAGAATCTAAGGGGGTTGAGAAGAGGTTCATGAGGTAAACATTTCCTCAGTATGGCAGACAGCTCTGATACTGCACAGACAAGATAAGTCTTAGTTTATCCAAGATCAATTGTGTCTTAATTGTAGATATAACACAAGGGCTACGTGTATTACAATATAATACTTTATCTGTATGCTCAATTGCTGATATTTGCAAAATTAATCAAGGCTGCACATCTGTTAACTATAACAGTATTCTGAGTTCAAAGTGCTCCTGCGTAATAGAGAATACATGATCCTTACAGATCTGTCTGTCTGTCCAAAGTTAGGATTAGCCACATATGTAATTACTAAGAATCTTCAATTCTGACAGTTTAATAATCTCCCCAAACAATCTGTTTCATTGTTTACCCCTTCTTAGATTTAGTTTCCACCCCAAATGTGCAGCCTAAACCCTCACTTTACACTTTTTTCCCTACTACATCTTTTCAAACCAGTGCAAAGGGAAAAGGTGTGGGGGCTTCCTAGATTAAAGTGTGCAACAAGTCTAATCACAGCTATTAGAGCTAGGAAACCTCCACTCCTTCAAGCTCTGCACAGCCAGAATAAACAATGAAGATTACAGTGTCAGTGTTTTCAAAACAGGCACTTTTACAGAAAATGACTTTTCTTTTATTTAATAGAACTGCAGTTGAATGTAATTTTGTCCTTTAAGTAAACTATTCTCTACAAATGATACAATTACAAAATTACAACTCGCTCTTTAAAAAGACAATGTTCAACAGGTCCCAAGAATTAGAGACTAGATTATCTTTAGAGTTCTTCAAAGCATGTTTACAAATGACATTGCATAATACCAATTGAGAGTTGCATTCCCCGTACATAAATTTAGTCCTTTAAAAGTTGCTTCAGTACAGCATAAGATAGTCATCTCAGCTTCCTTTGTTGTCAGCAGAAAGAAGCAGATGGAGTGACTTGCTTTGTGACTGTTCCTGTCTCTCCACTGCATATAGATAAATCCTAGACAACAATCTCTGACTGGCCAGCACATTTTTTATCTTTTGCTAGAGGAAGTTTTGCAAGATCAATCCTATTTGTAAAGTTACCAGCCTCTGGTGAATCTTGAGAGGATTCCAGCTGTTCCTCCAATCCCTGAAAAACTTCAGAGCCCCTCCAGCTTATTCTTTTCTTCACTGAAAGAGGATCTTTGCCCAGTCTTACGGGGTTCACACGCACTTCTCTCTCCTCATCAGTCTCTACTCAGTTCATATGATTCTTTACTAAAGGTCTTACACAACCCAAATTAATGGGAAGTTCCTCTCTGATTTCACTAGGCTCTGAATAATACCTTCTGCTTGCACTGTGACTCTCCAGGATCTTTCCAGCCTTCACTCTTTTATCCCCAACTCTACCCCTCTAAACTTGATGATCAGCTTCTGGTTCAAACAACTGTCAAATGCCCTGCTGGGCACCAAATAACTGCTGCTAATTTCAAATTCCATACATAATGAAGCCTGGCGCACATACCCTACAGCACGTGAGATTCGAATTCAGCTTTCTAAAGCATACTAAATGAAGGCAGAAATTCACTGTAAAGTCACAGTTCCTTGTCTCCAACTGCAGAGCAGATAGAGCTTAAAGCTATTACAAATCCTTACCATTTATCGTTTTGATGCATGCTTGGTTGCCCTCATATCCCATTAATACTAAAAGCAGTTGAGCATGTTATTGTTGCTCACAAACACACCCTTTGTGCCTTTTTTTTTTTTTTTTTTTTTTTACCAAAATATTGGAATTTTCATTAATGGGAGCACTTAAGAGAGAGATGGGAGAAAGAGCACCTCAAGGCATAGGCTCTGCTTTCACTAGCATGAGCAGATGAGAGGTCTCCCATGACAAGAGCAAAGCACTGCAACCACCTCTCTCCAGCTTTAGACCCACAAGAGCACCATCCTGCTTTGTGCAATGGCTCTGCCCCTGCTTTCTCAGGAGGCTACAACA